GGAAGGCACTTGCTAAGCAGTACTTACTGGAAACAGATGAGTTTTCCTCCCCCTTCCCTTAAAATGGATTCCCCAACAGGTAAAGTTTCCTACTGAGAGAGTGAGAATGGAAGTGGGAGATAAATTGCCTCATTTCTATCTGTGACGGGTTCCCAGTTCTCTGCTGCTGCCGCCGTGGTTGCAGTGTGTACCCGAGTCCTGCGGATGTTGTAGAACATAGAGCCTTTGATGGTTTTGCCCAATGATCACGGGAGGCTGAGGAACGCAGGCCAAGTTAGTCATCCTTGTGGGAGCCACAGTGGGGAGGTGATGTTTACCGTGCCCCCCCTAAACTCTGCACCCAAATACAGAGTGCAACTAGACGTCTTTGGAAAATGGAGATTGTGGCTTCTCTGTGTACCAGAATTGGGCACGTCTCTTCTTTGAAAGCTCCTTAGGCATGCCTCAAAATGCCAGGGGGAGGCTGATGAGACGAGCCAGGGACATGGTGGCCCCTACGGGGTGGAGAGCGGTGTCTTGTCCGTGGCGTGGTGGTGGTGGCGTAGATGAAAGGCTTCAATCAGCACCCCCACTCCCTTCCCAGTGCTTTCTGTGACCATGGAAGAAGCATCCTATTCCTGCACTCTGCGGCATGCTGGGAGCATGGCTACCCTGTCTGAGAAGGTCAGGTTCTAATTCGATTGGGTTTAGATTTTAAGCAACTTAAACCTGAACTGAAATAGCCACCTACGGTTAGTAGTGGTCGCACGGGGCAGCCTACTGTGATACAGATTGCAGCCCCCATCAAAAGGCACTTCTAAACAGGTGGAGTTGCGTGGGGGTGGGGGTGTCATTTCTGTCCATACCCAGGCCATCTGGATGTGACGACGGACGGGGCAGCTACTTGCCAGCAGTGAGCAAAATTAGGCGGAAGGACAAAAGTAGAATTTTGGGGGCCATTGGAAGGGGCCTGAGGGACCACCCATTGTCAGTTTATCGTACTGTGCTGGCTTCCCTGGTACTACAAGGCTGGACGCTATGCCACTGGTATTGCTAATTCTAGCAGCGTCACTCACGGTTTCAGAGGAGCTTCCAGACTAAGACAGACTAGCCAGAAAGGCCTGGCCACCTGCTTCTGAGAATTAGCCAATGGAAATCTTAGGGGTCACAACATAATATTGTCCAATACCATGCTGGAAGGGGAGCCCCGTGGAAGGTGCTCAGAATTCCCCGTAGCAGTGACTCGAGGATCGATTTTACTAGTGATTGGGGTGATGGCTCAGGACAGGGAGGCGTCTTTCTCTGTGTGCACAGCACCCTGAGGCTGAGTCAACGCCTTGGAAGCGAACAACCCCAGAGAAGCGGAGGGTGCAATTTTCCTCACATCTCAGCTGCTGGGGGTTGGATTCCGGGCCTGTTGCAGTCACTCTTGCCTCCCAGCCTCCGCGTTACTGGGCATCACTGGCCTGGCCCCATCCTCATCAGATGTCCCTGGAGCAAGCTGTTTATAGCTAGGAGACACAACTGAATCTCCAGGAACCCTCCCACCCCCCCACCCAAACACACCCACCATGGAGCCCCCGTGTGGCAGGGGTGAGCCTCCACCACGTCTGTGGAGGGGAGGCTGTCTTGGTAGACATGAGCGGGCTCTACCATAAACCAAGACAAAACAAACTCACTGTCATGGAGTTGCTCCTGACTCATAGTGGCCCTGTAGCACAGGGCAGGTCTGTCTCTGTGGGTTTTGAGACTGTAAGTCTTCATCGGCGTCGAAAGCCTCACCTTTCTTCTGAGGACTCTGACCTTGCTGTTAGTAGTAGCCCCCCCATGTCCCCCACCAGAAGCAACTGATCCTGGGAGCTGATGGGTGATATGAGGCTGCCCTAGTGTGATTCCTCGGTTCTCCTGAATTAGAAAGGAAGTCTAGTATGGCAGGCCCACCAGTGGCCTGTGTTGCTTGGGCGCCTGGGGTCTTTGGCAGGTGGGAGGAACTCAGCCTGGCTTGTGCTTCCACTCTGTTCCCTCTTCTGTTTCTTTCTTTCTTTATCATTTTATTGCGGGCTCATATAACTCTTATCACAACCCATATATACATCAATTGTGTAAGGCACATTTGTACATTCGTTACCCTCATCATTCTCAAAACATTTTCTCTCCACGTAAGCTCCTGGCATCAGCTCCTCATTTCGCCCCCCTTCCTCCCCGCTCCCCCCTCCCTCATGAATACTTGATAATTTATAAATTATTATTTTGTCATATCTTACACTGTCCAAAGTCTCCATTTACCCACTTTTCTGTTGTCTGTCCCCCAGGGAGGAGGTTAGATGTAGATCCCTGTAATGGGTTCCCCCTTTTCACCTTGCCCTCCCTCCACCCTGCCAGTATCCCACTCTCACCATTGGTCCTGAAGAGATCATCCGGCCTGGACTCCCTGCGTTTCCCCTGGATTCCCTGTGTTTCCCCTCTTCTGTTTCTTAATGCTCACTTCCCTGTCTCATCTCCCAGCCTCCGGTAGGGCAGTGGATATCCAGCTGTCCTCGAGCTGGGCCGTACCCCCATTTTAAATGCTATTCCCAACTGAGCCATAGAAGGTGTCCAATGACCTCCTTTTGGACCTTAGCTGATCTCAAGGAGAAAGCAATTGCCCCCCACCCCACCCCACTCCCCAACTCTTTGCACCCCACTCTCCCAGTCAGGTCACCGCCGGAAGAACCATTCAGCTTGCCCTGTCTCCACCAGAGCTCGGTTAAGCATTCGCTTTGTGGCCTTGAACAAGTCAAGTGCCACTTCTTTGGCTCTCAGTTCCCCTGTCTGTAAATGGCGGGGCTGAATACTCCCTTGCAACAATAACAGTTCAGGATGCAAGCTGTTTCCAGAGAAAAGTGATTATCTGAGAGGCTGAATCACTCCAGGCAGCTCCTTTAGAGAGGAGCTGGTTAACTCCAGCAAGTCTCTAATGGGCAGCCTGTGGTGGGGGAGCTCCCTTAAGCAGGAGGTCTCTCAATTTCCCTCATGCTTTCTGGGCCCAATATCTCCTCCAAGTCCAGGGAACAGATAGCTGAGGGTACCTCTTGACCCTTCACACGGGAAGCTGCCCTCATGCCAAGTGCTCCCCAGACACTGCTGGGTGAACCCACCCACCATGGATTTCGGTCATTCCTCAACCCGCATCTCTGGCAGATGGGGACATCTGTCTTGAGAGCAAAAGTTCAAGTAAACCGAGGGCGCCTGTGTTTACAAATGACGTTGTCTGGGGGTTTGAACGTGGGGAGGGTGGTCATAAAAGGAGTTCTGATCTGGGAGTCAGGTGGTCCTGGGCGGTGCTAGGCCGAAGCATTTACAGGTGGTCGCACATTGATCGCCTCACTTTGCTTGCCTCGTCTTTCAAAACCGCCCCTCAAACCAAACCCACCTCTGGTAAAGGTATTTCCACTCAGTGTCCCTACATAGATCTTCCGAGGCTGGGCATCTCCAAGGGCGCAGGCAGCCTTGCCTTTCCTCCATGGAGAGACGGGTGGTTTTGAACCACCAGCCTGGGTGAGCAGTCCACCACCTACCGGACAGCACCACCAGGGCTCCTTAGATACATATATCAACGTCTACCATCCCTCCGTCTATCAACCAGCGGCTCCTCTGGAGAAAGTCAAGACGTTCTGCTTCTGTAAAGAGTTTTGCTTTCCCAGACTTACAGGGGCAGGCCTACTGTGTCCAATAGGGTGGCTTTGAGCCGGCATGGACCTAGTGGCAGTGGGTTTGGTTTGGTTTGAGATTCTGCATATAAACCAGCTGCATCCACTCTGACCTTGTGTGCATCAGTGTAGGACTGTGCTCAATGGGGTTTTTAGTGGCTGATTTTTCAGAAGTAGATCGCCAGGACTGTCCTCCGAGGCATGTCCGGCTGAACTTGACTGGCTCACATATCTTTGATCAGTCAAGCCTGATAACCCTTCGCCCCATCCGGGGACTTCATTTTGAATAGTTAGCAATAAGGTGCCCATGTAAGGTGTTGGGGATCCTGGCCTCCAGATACAAATATCTGAGTGGTAATAATCAAACAGCAAAAATACCAGATTCCTTCTTGCAGCGCCGGAGGGTGTGTGCCATGAAGCCAAACCCAATCCAAACCCATTGCCATCAACGTGGGGTAGAACTGCCCCTGTGGGTTTTCCAGACTGTAACTCTTGATAGAGTCTCGTCTTTCTCCCATGGAGTGGGCTGGTAGTTTCAAACCGCTGACCTTGTGGTGAGCAGCCCACTGCATAACTGCTATGCCGCCAAAGCTCCTTGTGCTGTGAAACAGCAAGATGCTAAGCCACTCCCGAGATCTTCTAAGCATGGCAGAAATGTGCATGGCCACAGATGCCACCTTGCTCCTCCCAGGAGGACCCGGGCTTCACGGAAAGGCTCTCTCTGCTAGCCTCAGCTCAGGATGGGGCCAGGGCCCTTCCTCTGTACTCCCGCTCAACCCAGAGAGCGACAGGGACTCCTGTCTGCCTGGAGGCTCGCAGTCCTGTTGGAAAACACTAGAAGCAGAACCGAGAGTCGGGGAAGCCTCGGCAGGGCAACAGTGCCCTGTAAGGTCAGCTGAGCGAAGTCTGAGGAAAACGAGAAGCCACAAGCTCCGGCTGGAGCTCAGGGCTTTCCTGACTGCCTGGCTCTGGTCTGGGTTTGGAAACGCCCCTGGGTCCTTGTACAGTGGGAGCTGGGCAGCTGGGATCATTACTCAGGACTCTTAGCCTATCAGATTCTAGCGAAAGACCTGCAGAGAGGTCAGCCCAGGCACGGTTCCAGAATTTATCAAGGTTTCTGCACCCACCACTTGGCATCAAGGGTGCCACATTCTTGGGAAAGAGAGCCTGTGTCCACATTGCCGTCTGGCCCCTGCCCTTTCAGAAAGGACTCTCATAGTGGAGGGTGTGGAACCTGGAGCATCCAGGAGAAGAGCCCAGGGACCCTCCGAACCTTCCAGACAGATGACTGCATCCTGCCCTTGGGAAAGCTTCCAGGCGACTCGCACTCACCTTTGAATGGGGCTTGGGCTCGAGTCACGAGGTAGAACCTCCTGGCCCTGCTCTGCTGTTCCTGGCGGACGTGGTAGCCCAGCAGGTTGCAGCCACCCTTCTTGCAGCTCAGGCACAGGCCCTGGCTGAAGGCGTCCATGCTGCTGCACCGGTAGGCCGTGCTCTGCATGCTGCTGTGGAGCAAGGAGTCGATGAAGAGCTGCACGGACCGCTCGTGGGAACACTTTATGGTCTGCGAGATGGCTGCAACACAGAAGGCAAGGAGGGCTTCATTGCCTCTGACCCTCAGATACCTGCCACTCAAAGGTCACCATGGTTCTGGGGCCACAGAAATGGCAAACGAGCGAGCAAGCGAATACAAACCAGTCCCTGCTGAGTTTATGCCCCTTCACGGGGACCCCATGGATTTCAGAGCAGAAGGGCACCCTGTAGGACTTTTCATGGTGGTGATCTTTTGGAAGTAGATTGCCAGGCCTTTATTCTGAGGCGATTTTGGATGGATTCAAACCACCGTTAGCAGCTGGGCACATGACCGTCTATCTGTACCATTCGGTGATGCCCACAGAAGATTCAACTCAACTCACTGCGTTGAGTAGATGCTGACTCATAGCAACCCTATTGAACAGGGTTGAACGGTCCCTGTAAGTTTCCAAGACGGTAACTCTTTACGGGAGTAGAAAGCTGGGCCATTCTCCCGACGACTTGGAGCAGTTTTGAACTGCTGGCCTTGAGGAGCAGGGCTCCTTACCGAAGATTGGCGGTAGCAAATTGGAATCAAGGAGTGGATCAACGGGTTGACACACTGGTGTCGGAGGGGGGTCATAACTGATTGAAACGGAAAGAAAGAGTCATCCATCTGGGGCTGTGTCATGCAAAAGCCTAATCCCGGCCACCCCTGGGGATTTTCGTGCATGTTTTCATTGTTGGGTGCTGGTGAGTTGGTCCGGACTATGTACAAGAGACCAAAATACCATCTAGTCCTGAGCCGTCCTCACGTGTTCATGGGAACCCTGAAACGTTCAGAACCCATCAGACTATATTCACAACCTTCCTTAAGAAAGCAGGTGGTGGAATTCAAACTTTCTAAGCAGGGGGCCAGTTCACTGTCCCTCAGACCCGTCGAAGGGCCGGACTATAGTTTAAAAAAACAGTACGAACAAATTCCTGTGCATACTTCACATATCTTATTTTGAAGTAAAAAAACAAACAGGGCAAAGACACCCGGCGGGCCCAGATAAATGTCCTCGGCGGGCTGCATGCGGCCCGTGAGCCGTAGTTTGAGGACGCCTGCTCTAGAGGAGAAACACACACAAATGTGGACACCTTGTGGGTGGGTGGGCTCGTGTGGGATGTCTCTTTCCTTCCTAAAGAAAGAAACACAGCCCTCCCACAGCACCTTATGAATCCAAGCCAACGTCACTGCCATGGGGTGAATTCTGACACTATAGGACAGAGTAGAACTGCCCCTTTAAGTTTGCGAGGCTTGCAAATCTTTGTGGAAGTCAACCCCCCCAAATAAAATTCACTGCATGGATTGGATGCTGACTTATAGCCACCCCGAAGGACAGGGTAGAACTGCCCCTTTGAGTTTCAAAGACTGTAACGCTTTACAGGAGTAGAAAGCCCTGGCTGATGGTTTCAAACTGTTGACCTTGCACATCCCAGCCCAACAAGAAACCACTATGCCACCAGGGCTACTTTGTGGGAGCACGCTGCCTCATTTTTTCCCCGCAGAGAAGCTGGTGGATTTGAACTGCTAATCTTGTGGCTAGTGTTCCAAGATTTAAGCCATACCATCAAGGCCTATGGCATCCTAAGGATCTGGGAAAAGCTGATCTCTCACAACATTTACCTTCTGTCCAAAGCAGCTGTTATACCCCTTAGGTAACTGGCTTGTAAAATCAGTATGAGTGAATTTGGAAGGACTTGGCCCAGAGTATGAATGGGCCTCACCTAACAGCAAACTAATTAGGCTTATCCATTATGGATTTTTGAGACTTAACAAACAAACAAACAAACAAACAAACCTCTCTAGGTCTTAGTCTAAATTTTAAGTACTCTCCTATCAACCACATAGCTCAACCTCTCTTTAAGGCATGTTGGAGAACCACCCCAAGATCTGTAAAGTACCAAATGTGAGGGTAGAGCATACGTATCCTGGCCTGCATCTGAAGGCTAGAGGCCAAGATGAGTCACAGCAGAGTTTAGCCCACAGAGGCGGCATTTGTTGAGCATCTACTGTGAGGCAGAAGTTCAGCCAAATGCCTTGCCTCCAGCCTCTCATTTAATCTCACCTCAGCCCGGCCAGGCAGCAATAATAAATGAGTAAGCTGAACTTCAAAGCCATTCACTACCTCACCCAGCTTCACAGAGCCAGGAGATTTGGATTTAAAAACCAAAAAAAATTTTAAAGACCATTTTATTGGGGGTTCTTACAGCTCTTATAGTAATCCGTACATCAACTGTATCAAGCATATTTGTACATATGTTGCCCTCATCATTTTCTAAACATTTACTTTTTGTTTGAGCCTTTGGTATAACTCCCTTTTCTCTCTCCTCCCCACACCGTACCACCTTCATGAACCCTTGCTCAATGATAAACTATTATTATTTTCATATCATACACTGACTACTGTTTCCCATCACCCACCTGTCTGTTCTTCGTCCCCCTCAAGGGGGTGGGGGCGATTATGTGTTGATCATTTTGATTGACTCCCCCTTCTTCCCCTTCTCCCCCCACCTTCCCTCTACCCTGAGCCAGGGGGTTTTGGGAGTGGCAAAGCAGTTATGAATCAGTGATGGCTAAGATTCTTATTCCCCACCACCCGTGCGTGTGCGTCCGTACTGTGATGGCTTGCCTGTTGCTGTCACCGTACTGTGATGGCTTGCCTGTTGCTGTCACACGGGAAGCTGCCACTAGCATGTCAAACACCAGCAGGGCCATTCACCATGGCCCGATTTCAGCAGAGCTTTCTGACGAAGGCCGAGAAGGAAGAGAGGCCTGGTGAGCTACTTCTGAAAAACAGTCATGGGAAACCTGGCGGGTCATCACAGGACCTTGTCCGACTTGCTTGCTTTGGCTGGGTCATCAGAAGGAAGCCCCACTAGAGGAGGCCATCAGGTGTGGTGACAGAGAGGACCGACGAGGGCTCCGGAGGCTCTTGGGGGCCAGATGGACTGGCTCAGTGGCAGCGGCGATGGGCTCTGGTATGCTGTGGTTGGGAGGTCGCTGCAGACTGGCCGTCACTGCATCCATGATACACAGGTCCCAGGAGCAATGTAGCGATTCCGCCCAGGTGCGTTTGGGGGAACCCCCAGCATGAAACCACTTTCACACTGAAGGATGAGGGAAACGGGAAAAGCACACCGGGGTTGGCTGAGCTGAATGAAAACGTGTGGGCCCATCACGCTGAGGTTTTGCACAAAGGAGCAGGCGGCGGCTGTTGGTCAGATGCATCTGACAGGCAGAGGTGCTCAATGCCAGCCCAATGTCAGTCCCGGGACTTCTGAGGTGTAGATTGAGAAGGAGGGCTGACCCGCCAGGAGCCTGCTGGTGATTGGAGGGACAGTGACCTGAGAGAGCGGTAAGGAATGATAAGGGGAAGTTCCCGGAAGGCTCTCTCAGGCGTGGGCATGTAGAAGGCTGGGAGTCCAGCCAAAATCAGATAATGTCAAGCTCTAAGGTCAGCCTGATGTCTGAGGGGTGAGAGTGATGGTGTTATCGCGAGAGCGTGTTCTCAGCTCACTTTGGGACGAGTGGGGTTAGAAGGTGGTGTGCGGGGGCTGGGGGCCTCCAGTTGGCTCGGAGGGCATTGTCGTGTTTTCACTGGGATGGTATGTTGTAGATTCTGAGAGATTTGGAGGGCCTGCGGAATGTGCCGTTTCTACTGACGTTTGCTTCCTTCATCCTGTGCACGTTGCCCAGGTTCATATGAATGTTTTCGGTTTGGGACTTAAGAGAAATGGGATCACAACCCAGGTAATGCCAAATTCAATTCCTGCCAAAGGTAAAGGATGCAACCAGGGCCTGCTGGAAGGGCAACTCCAAATTCCAGGAATCATGGCGATACACTGTAGGAGCAGCCGATGGACCTTTGGGGTGAAGGTGGGAGGTTGGGAGTGTTCCCGCTCTTGTGAGGCCACGGATCGAGTCTGGTGGACTCCTGGCCATAGAGTTGAGGCTGGCTCATAGGGAACCCATAGGGCAGAGTAGAACTGTGGGTTTCTGAGACTGTAATTCTTTACAGGAGTAGAAAGCCTCCTCTTTCTCCATCGGAGCAGCTGGTGGTTTTGAACTGCTGACTCTGTGGTTAGTAGTCCACCGCGTAACCGCGACAACACCAGGGCTCCACAAGGCTCAAGTAGCCCTGATCTATTATTAAGTGGCTCTTCATTCTTCCTTGAATAGAGAAAACTCTTGAATGAGGAAGCTCTAGGGAAGGAGGAGGAATAATCAGGGCACCAGAATTCAATGTTCAGAACGGTGCAGATCCCTGGGGAGTCGCTGGGAGGTGCAAATGGTTCAAGTGCTTGGGCTGCTATGACAGTGTCTCCTCTGGGCCTTTGACACCTGGGCTCTGAGGGGCCCTGGCTCTGGGGCAAGTTCTGAAGCTTGGACTTCTAGACCATTTCTTATCTCTCCTCACCTCACACCCTAAGGAGGAAAAAAAAAGTTTGGATTTTTGGAGTCTACACATTCGTGTCTTGGAATAAAGGCCTGGCTATCTACTACTTATAAATAAAAAAGTCCAGCCCTAAACCCTGCGAACATCGTTCTGCTCTGACATACATGGGGTGATCATGAGTTGGGATTGACTCCACACGAAGGTAGTAGTTTGTTTTAGCACCGAGAGCTTGCTTGTGTCCACTGCATGTGGGAGGAAACACGTCCTGATGGGGGCTCTTGGCCACTGTCCTCAGGGTCTGGGCTCCCAAGAACTCTGCCAGGGGCCAGCCCTGACCCACTCCTACAAGGCCTCTCTCTGAGTGGCCTTGCTGATCTTCGCCCAACTCTTCTCCTCCGGGTGGGTAGATCCCAGGGGCCCCACAGCAGTGTGGCCAGTGAGGTTGGCTCATTCTCTCTCACCGTTCAAGCCGTGGGTGGCAAGGCGTTTGTAGAGCTCCAGGAAGTGGCAGCCCGGCTGGAAGGAGCCGCCATTGGGGTAGAAGTCGTAGTGCGCCACGGGCTGCTTGATGCCCACACTCAGGCCCATGTGCTCCTGAGTAAAGGTATGGATGGCGTCCACAAAACTGGCATCATCTGGGGAAAGTCGGTCGCTGGGGGACGTTCCCTCGAACAAGGGGCCGGCGGCATCCAGGCCTAAGAGGAGAGCAAGGGCACGGTTAGGTGGGGCGTGGGGAGGAGAGGAGAAAGGCATCTGTAGCTTTCCGATGGTACACATCAATGAACCAGCAGGAGGAAGAGGCACACAGGGCCTACTTTCTCGGCAGCACATCTGGCCAAGACCCTTTTCACAGCAAAAAGACAGTCCTTCACGGTGCCGACAAGGAGATACCGGCTGGACTGCAATTAGGGGAGGGAGAGGGGGTTGGAAACTCTCCCCTGGCTGAAGGAAGGTTAGTGGGAAATGCTGGACTTTTGGAAGCAAGGCAAGGAGAAGTACTTGCTGGGTTATTTTCAAGAGCATCGGTTCACATAGCAACGAGAAAACAAAACAAAGCAAGTAAGCACACACATACACACAACAACAAGATGTCAGGGCTGCGATTCCTGACTCCCCGACTTAAAACTCGGGGTGGGCAAAAACCCAGAGGAATTGTTTTGGCTTCAAAAGCCTCCCGAGCGCCCACGTTTTAGGCCCTGTCTGTGAGAGATGCCGTGTGAGGGGAGGCAGCAGGAGTTCAAGGCTGTCATGCGCCCGAATTGTCTCCGATGGGCATCTCCTGCCACCACTGTATTTGCAATGCGGGCCCCCAGCCCCTCTGTGACCTTCAGCACAGCACCAAGGAAGTGGGCCCTCGCTCCACGCCCCTGTGCATGGATGGAGATTACAGTTTGTTAGTTCTCGGGCACAGTTACCTGTGATTCTCCCAATCTTGCGCGTTCCGCCGATGGAACTGCCGGCAAATCCTGACACGTGTGCGCCCAGGCTGTACCCAATTAGGTGAACATTGCTTCGAGAAAATTGCACCGATTCCTGGAAGACAGCAGCCAGGTGATTGCAGGCAGACAAGAGCTGCCTGGATGAAAGCCTTTTGTGGGTACAGCTTGTCTGGGCACCCTCCCTGCTCGTGGGCGCCTGATGGAAAGGAGGCACCTCATTCCGTACCCAACCTGTAACTGGTCTCTCCCCTCCCTCCCTCTCTCCTTTCTGGCCAGCCTAGAAGGTTCAGCTACCTGGGACCCTACCTGGCAGCTGCTGCCTTACCTGACTTCCTGCCTTTTCCCCACCTTAATCCCCTGCAGATGTGATAGTGTTCGTTTGTGTGGGGGTTTACTTGTGTTTGATGGTTTGTAGGGTGTGTGCTTAGCACAGCATAAAAGGAATAGTGGGTGGGGTGGGAAGAGAAGACAGAACAGGGCTCTAAATGAAGCATCTGAGAGCGCCAGGGGCCAGCTCTCTGTCCAGGGCGTGAGCATCCAGTGAGCTTGTCGGAAGAGGTCTCCTCTCTGGGTTGCTATGGGAGACCAGCTTAATCACTCACTCTGGAGGGAGGAGGCGGGTTGGGAGGTGTGGGGCAGGCCTTACCTCCAGCCACCGGAGAAGAGCAGCGACCTCCTGGCCCACCAGGCGGGTGTTGCGGACGGCAGCGGCGTAGTGGTGTTGGGCCAGGCTCATCCAGTCAGCCAGCCCCACGTTCAGGGACTGTGTGGACTTCAGTGCAGCCACCATCTGCCAGACCCAGGCTTCCAGCATGCCGTCCACCTGAGAGAGGGTGGCCACCGGCCAGTCAGCCTCATGGGAGCGGGGGACAAGGCGGGGCAGGGCACCGGTTTCCACCCTCTTCCTTCTCCTGTTCCTGGAGCCAAGTCCCAGGGACCCCCATGGAGAGCCTCCATGGAGGGTTGGAGCCAAGACACAGGGATCCCCATGGAGACCCTGGAGCTCAGCTCTGAAGATATGATGCTCCTGAGCTGCGTGTGTGTGTGTGTGTGTGTGTGTGTGTGTGTAGGGGCCTGGCCCGTGCCTTGTAGGATGTTTAGCAGCACCCCTGGCCTCTCCCCATTAGATGCCATCAGCACCCCACCCCACAATGTGACAACCAACACATGCCTCCAGGCTTTGCCAAATGTTCAGGGTGAGGCGGACCGGGCAGGGACTTGTCCTCTTCTGAGAGCCACTAACTGAACATTTTTCTACATCGGGACTTTCCGAGCTGGAAGACAATCATCTGTGTTGCAGACACACATGTCTGCCCTCTCGGTGAGGTGTCTCCCCGCCGGCCCCATCCTGTCTGTCTCCTAAGGCATTTGGTCAGATCCTCAACCACTGTTGTATGCTTCGCTCTAAAGATCGGTATGGACCAAGAGCCCCATGAACGTGGACAGAGAATTGTTTGCAAACAATGTACAGGGCCTCCCAGTGGAGTTGCACAGAGTGATAGCATTTGAAAGGATCCCTGGGCTGGCTAAAGATTGGGCTGGGGACTGCAAGGTCGATGGTTCGAATCCACCACTTGCTGTGTGGGAGAATGATGATGAGGCAGCCTGGTTCTGCAAACATTGACAGCCTTGGAAAGAGCCACGGAGTAGTGAGTGGTACCCCCTCGTATAGGATTGTTCTGCGTGGGAATGAACTTGCTGGCAGTACATTTTCTGGTTTATGAATAGAATGGGCAGGCGAACGTGCTGATGGGGGACTGGGGAGAGGGCAGGGGCTGCTGGCAGGGTGCTCCGGTGGAAGGAACAGCGCTCACAGAGCAGAGTTGTGAAAGTCTGTCTGGGGAGAGGAGAAAGGTGGGGTGTGGTCAGGATTAGCCTCCGGGAGGGAAGGGATAGGAGGGAAGCTGAAGAACTAATGAGTGGTTTGACGGTCTGACTGGCCGCTCCGGGATAAGATTCATTCCGTTGAATAAGTGTTTACCAAGTCCCTTCTATGGCAATACAAAGAGACTTGCAGGCAAACCGTGTTTGGTTCAAACCCTGGCTTTCTCAGCTCCTAGCTGAAAGACCTTGGGCGAGTCACTTAACCTCTCTGTGCCCCCAGTTTTGACGCCTAGGAAGTGGAGATAGGAATGGTGCCTGCCATCGATAACCACTGGACGGTGAGATCAGTTAGTGGGCGTAACTTGGAAGAGTGGCTTGGAATGAGTACGCGGTCAATGTTACTCACAGCAGCTGTGAGTGGCCTTTCTTGCTACGGTTGCCATTGTTGTTGTTAGAAATCACATATGAGATTGGGCAGCATTTTGAGGAGAGCTGCATTATCCCAGCGTACTGAGGTCACAGAGATGCGTCTAGGGGCACATCAGGTACGTCCAGTGCTGCACTGTGCTCCTGCCATTTCAGATGCCATGGCTAGTGCTCTAGTTGCCACTTGGAGTGACGAGGATGAAGGCTGCCCGATAAGAATGGCAGACATGTAAGCTCGCAACAACCATGTCCTTGAGGACTTCAGTGACCAAAGCCATCTACCCTGTTTTGGGTCCTACCCCACTGGATGAGTACATGAAATGGACGTGATCTTCTGTTTGATTTGAACCCCTGCTGATCCGGGTCTCTGTTTTGGCTGCTGAACCTATCCTTTCTGGTAGCGCATTCCACCGGGACTCCCAGCCTGCTGGCCTCTGAGGCAGGCAAGTTCAGGTGGCAGCCTCCCTTTGGCACCGTCTGCTCTCTCTGGCAGACTCTATTGAGCGGTGTGACCTCTTTGAGTCCCATTTTATTATCTGAAACACGGAGATAATTATATTTCCCCTGCCCCACTTACCTCACAGAATTGAGCTAATCAATGAGGTAATGTGCAGGGAAGGGCTTGGAAAATTAGAATGTGCTCTACAAATATTATGCATGACGTTGTTATCATCAGCTCCCCATCTTTTAAAAAAATTATTATTAAAATCAAACACATCAGGCAGGGGGGAAAAAGACAATTTAAAAGCAGAGAGAGAGAGAGAAAAAAAAGGGCTGTCAGCATTTCCTACCGACCACCCGTGGATTATCATCACCAGCGGCAAGGAAGCATTGAAACCACAGTCCTGCAAGGAGTCCGGGCGATGGAGCCGGATCTGACAGCCTTTGTCAGCTGCTTCCTCAAAGAGCAGAAATCTGGTCTTCGTCTCCTGCAGTGGTTTCTTTGTTTCAACATCTCGAGAACTTCTTCGAAATGGCTCTGGAATACATGATTGGGGACAGTGGTTAACATGGCGCCCTGTTCCCCGCTGCCAGCTCTGGGACCACTCACAGACCTCAAAGCACACAAAGCTAGGGGGTCGTTGTGAGCCAGCAAGTTGGGGAAGCCAAAGCATGTCTCCAGTAGAATGGCCATCTTTCACCAAAGAGATGGAGGCTGACAAAGGGACCATCGAGGGCGTCCAAGAGGAGACGGAGTCTCCGTCGTGCCATCCCAGTGACCAAAGAAGCTGACCCTCCAGTTAGGCAAGACTCCCAAGACTTTTAACTGAGAATCACTCTAGGATATAGAGAATATCGGAGAGGAAACAGACAGAGGCTTCGAGAAGATAAACATCTCACCTAAAATCACAAGGATAGTAGGTGTGAGGATTTGAACACTGATAGTAAGAGTCAGGATTTGAACCCAGGTCCCGCTCTGACTCCAATTCCCAATTTTACATCCTTATGCTAGGAGACAATGCATGGAAGTATCTTAATTAAAGGATACTAGGGGGCGATTCAAAAAAAGTGGATCGGTAGAGTGGCTCAGCAGTCAGCTCAGCATAACAGCAATTATGAAGATGGTGCAGCGCCCGGTTGCGCTTCGGTCTGCTGTGCGTACGATTGCCATGGCTCCGAACGGACTCAGTGACACCTAACAGCAGTAGCAACATGGCGCAGTGCAAAGAGCCCTGGTGCTGGACTACTAATCACGAGGTTGGTGGTTCAAACCCACCAGTTGCTCCACAGGAGAACGACGAGGCCATCTGCTCCTATCAACAGTCACAGCCCCAGGGACTCTGGAGAGGGTGGTTATGAGTCAGAGTAGACTCGATGGCAGTGGCTTTGGGTTTGGGGTTACAGGACAGTTCCACTCAAACCTAGGGGCTGCTGTAGGGCCGCTTTGAGTTTGATATGGCTTTCTGTGTTCTCGTAGGAGCCCTGGTGGTATAAACAGTTAAGCATCTGACTTCTGATGGAAAGGCTGGTGGTTTGAAACTCCCCAGCTGCTCTGTCAGTCTGTCCGCAGTAGGGTGACAACCTAGGAAACCGCATGGGTTCATTCTATCCTGTTGGAATCCACTAAACAACACCCAACAGCTCTCACTCCCTGTCGTCGGGGGAGGGCAGACTCACAGTGACCTGAGAGGACAGGAAAGAACTCCCCCTGAACTGCCCCCTGTGGGTTTCTGAGATGGTAACTCTTTACGGGAATAGACAACCCCCAAGTCTTTCTCCCAAGGAGCAGCTGGTGGTTTTGAACCGCTGATCTTTCAGACCACAGTCCGACTCCTAACCACTACGCCGCCAGGGCTCCTCACCTAACAACAACAACAACAACAACAACAACAACAACAACAACACGTAGGAGCTCATGTCCCCCAAGCAGTCCGTACGCAGGCAGTCTATATGATGTAAATTCTGTATGGACATCGCACAGGGGTGGAGTCAGCCTGGGAGGATCGCAAAGGAGGATTTGCTGGATGCAAGGAGCGACAGCAGGAGGGATTTTCAGGGACAGCCATGCTGCACTCTGGCCCTGGAGAATGAATGGGGACCCTGGGGGAGAATGAATGGCACAACTGAGCCCAGAGGAGCAAAGAGGCAGCCAGGAGGCTGGGACCCCTGACTGGGAGGGCCCTGGGGATGCAGTGTTGCACCTGGGCTCTGGGCTCCAGGGGGCAGGTGACTGTTACGGAGTTTCCTTCAAGGACCACGGTCAGTATGGGGAAGGCGAGAAAGATCATTTTTAAGATTTCACCTGCTGTTTTACTGACTAGCCGTGGGAAAGCCCCAGTCAGACTTTGGGGTAGGAATGGGCAGCCACCCAGCAGGTCACCCCGACTCTGAGTGAGGTCTGGGCAAGCCTAGGAGCGCCATGTGCCGGTGACTCCCCCACGTGGGTGACTTCTTTTGAGATGAGCGGTCAGGCCAAGGTGGAGGCTGTCACCCTCCCTTCCGTCCGAAGGCGCCCCCACCCTGACTCGTGTGGCCCAGGAGCAGTAAGGCCGTCCCGGTCTGCTTGGTCTGTGATCTCAGTTCAGTCCAATCACCGAGGCCCCAATCGCTCTTCCTGAGCCCAAAGTCCTTCAGGGTTCTCAAAGACTAAGTCCTGGGCTTTGGGTTTCAGGGGACAGCGCGACTGAGCGATGATGAACCTACCATGTGTGCAGGGAGGTATTCATGAAGCTAATTTTCCTGCCCAAAGATGATGAACTCGAAAGGTTATTAATTCCCAGCAAAGGGCAATGTGTTTTCGCTGGGGCGACAGAATGAAAGACAGGATGTTGTCTGCAAAGAAGACGTGAGGGAGAATCGGAATGAACTCTCTTGAGATTCTGACGAACCTGCCCACTGGCCCGTGGGGCGTGCCCAAACGGATGGTCCGTCTAAGCCTGCAGGCCGCCCACCTGCGCGGGTGCTAACAAAGCAAAGGCAAGGGAGGGCCAGCGAGGCCAAGGAAGGCCCTGGCCGAGAGGGACTGACCTAGTGCAGAACAACCGCGCGGGCCGGGCCGGCAGCAGGGCTCCTGTTATCCATGGGGTCATGGGGGTCCCCGCCAACAGAAAGGCCCCCAGTAACAGCCACCGAAACCCATCACGCAAAACAAAACCATTTGCTTCTGGCTCCTGGCAGCGGGTGGAGGCCGAGTGGAAGTGTGCTCTCTTCGCCCTTCGCACGGTTTTTGGGGAGGAGACTCATTCTTGACTGTCACTTCAGAAAGAAAAGTCTCGGAATTTTCCAGACTGCAGATGTTTTCCCAGTTGGTTCTTCCTGGCAAAATAGTCCCCATCCAAAGAAACCCCAGCAAGGGGATATCACATTTTAAATGGGCTTCAGGTTAACATTTCTGGGTATTGTTTTTAATGACAATGCTTAATGTTCACACGTCAGAAAGCTGTGACCTAGCTGCCGTGGACCAGCAGTGTGTGATGCTACGAAGCTGTGCGGAGCGGGCATGTGCGTACCTTCAGGCCCAGGGATGAGGTATTCAAGATGCACACCGTCCAGGGGCTTTCGATGGCTATTGTTTTCTGAAGCAGGTTGCCAGCACTTTCTTACGAGGAGCCTCTCGTTGGCCTCACCCCCTTCACGTTCAGATCGGCAGCCTGGTGCTCTTCCCAGGGACTCGTCTCCCTGCGGGTGATGGCTCTTCTTGCAGGGTACCCTTCAAGGCCTTACATTGCAGCCAAGACCCCCACCTGATTAATGACCACTGCCCTCATGGCCCCTCTGCGCTCTCATCGCCGGGCAGCCGTGGGTGCAGTGGTTTATCAGACGCGATGTTGCTCCCTTTGTCTTTGCTCCCTCGAGTCCCATGGGTGCTACAGCTTCCGGTGAACCCTGGTCCACCCACAAACACGAAGCTCAGCCATCTCCCCCTGCAGCCAGCCTTCTCGTCTGTCACGCTGCCCGCTGCTGCCAGCACTGTCCTGTGCACCTGATCCAAATGGACTTGTCCCGCTGCCTGGGAATTTATTTGTTGACATGTGTGTTTCCTCTACCAGCTTGTGAACTCTGTGGTCAGAGACCCTGTCGGTCCTGCATATCCTGAGTGGGAGGCAGGGCAGAGCTCGCGGCGGGTGTTTGGCGAATTTGTGGTGAGCGAGGTGGTTTATGAACCCTAGTAGTGTGGTGGCTCCACTTGGGTTGCTAACCGTAAGGCTAGCAGTTCGAGACCACCAGCCGCTCCTTGGGAGAAAGATGAGACTTTCTACCTTCTTTATGGATTGCAGCTTCGGAACCTCACAGGGCAGGTCTTTTTCTGCCCTTATAGATTTGCTATGAGCTGGAATCGACTGGATAGCAGTGTGTGTGTGTGTGTGTGTGTGTGTGTGTGTGTGTGTTTTAGGTGGTTTACTCTGGGATCCAGGACTCGGATCAAAGGCTGACATTTGATCTGCCCGTCATTTGCACATTGGAACTAAATGTAGCTCATTTTCTTCTGTTTAGTGACCAATGCCTCCTTCCACTCAGCATAAAAGAGTTAGCTTGAATGCTCGGGCCATATGAAAATACCATGGGGGTGAGACAGTGTCTGTCTATCTATCTGTCTGTCTGTCTATCTATCTCATACAGCTGTCACGAGGTTTCCATCAGAGTCCACTTGTACAGAGCTCAGAACGATGCCTGGCGCCGCATGGGCACCTGCAGACAGCTGCGTTGTTTAGAAGGGGCTGAATGGAGCCTTCAGCATCTTGCGTCTTTGATCTGTGAAACATTTTTCTTTCTGTGAACATCTGCTCCGGTTGCCCTCTTGGGGCTGATTCTGTGTAATACTTACGTACTGTGGATGCAGCCGGGGGAATAAACTCTGACGGGGTGCAGTGGCCTGAAGCTGGGTCCTGTGGGGAAGAGCCGTCCGATGGACAGGCCCTCAGGCAGGGGGACTGGACTCTCCCTTTTCTTCTTTCTTAGGGATTCTGGTTTCCTATAATATGAGAGACAGGGGTATGTCCCCTCCTTGATTCATTTTAACAAATGCTTATTAAGCAAACGTGATTCAGTCTATATTATGCTCCTTCCTGGGTGATGAAAATGGTTAGCAAGTGCGGCTGACGATCAAAAGGTTGGAAGTTCAAGTCTACCCAAAGGCACCGCGGAAGAAAGGCCTGATGATCTACTTGTGAAAAATCAGCTATTGAAAAAAAAGCCCAAGGAACAAGTTTCTTCCCTGACACACGTGTGCTTGCCATGAATCATAAATGACCTAGTGGCAACCGGGTTTATCTTACGTTCCAGGCTCTGCTAATGTACTCCAAAACAAAACTCACTGCCTGGAGTCGCTTCTGACTCATAGCAACCCTGTAGGACCGAGCAGAGCTGCCCCATGGGGCTTGCACAGCTGGGTATCTTTACAGAAACAGGCGGCCGCATCTTCTCTTGAGAGGTTGGTGAGTTCGAACGGCCAACCTTTGGGCTAAGGGTCACATGGGTAACCACTGTGCCATCCAGGATCCCTACTGAGGTGCTGGTCAGAGGCAACGAGACCATGGC